GTTGTAATTATTTTAATTATTTTTATTTCCAAACTGATTTTAACCAGTTCTATAGTAAGGTAACATTCCAATAGACAATATGCAAAGCTTTTTTTTCAGTTTACAGCAGTATTTATTACACAAAATTTAAGTAAAGCTTAACATGCCGATCTTGCCCCGGTCTCCCCTATAATTTTTATACACTGCTAAAAGTTATATATTTTTGATTCAAATATTCAAGCATAATTGTCTATAAAGTAAATTTTGTATGCTTTAAAAAGTATAATAATTATAACAATCGCGTTAAATAAAAATGCAATAAGAATCGAATTTTTTAATTTAATCTTTATTATTTAATTATGTTGTCTTTATTTATTATCGTTTGTTGTTTAATAACAATTTAAGAAAGATTAAATTAGATACAGTAATCAAAAGAATAGAGAAAAATAATCAAGTTAATGGCTTTAAAACCGACTGCAAGAGCAACGTATAGAGAAAGCATTACTGAAAGTCGTGTTAGAGGAATTGGAAGCAAATACCGTGACTACTCATAAAAATTGAATAGTTTGATCACATTTCAGAAATTTAAAAGTACATTTTGTAATAAATTATATTAGATATGATAATTTTATACTAAATAGATGTATAATGTGAAATAAATATAGTAAAAGGAAACTTTGTACTGTGTTGTACAAACAGTAAATCTTTACTATTGCCTCTGGTGTATTTCACGATATAATCAAATGTGAAGAAATTGACTTAGCATATTTACCGTCTTTTTAAATCAACAAATAAATTTATAACATTTAATTTAATGATTCAGCAGCCAATCTAAAAATGTTCATTTCTTCATAATTTTTAAATAATTTTTAATAGGAATTTTCAATAGAATTAATAAAACTTGAAAGCTTTTTATTTTAATTTTATTATTTTCTGTACAATTACTTGACGGATATTTCATCACTTTGTCATTTGGGAACGAAATCCGTGATAACGATTGATAATTAATCAAAGTCACATTTAAAAACTTGGGCGTGTCTAGAGTAATAGGCAGCCAACTTTTCTGCATAATATGCTGGATTATTCTTTTATAGTGAAATTTTAACATCAATTTTTCATCTTCTATTAAATTCAATCAAATAACTTTCAATCAAATCTCGTGAAAAGGGATCAAGTGGGCCATTTGGTACGGATCTCAAGCTCGAGTATTCATATGTTTTGACTGTTATTTAGTAGATAAGAAACACGTCATCTCAAATATTGATTTCGATCTTTAACCATCTCCCATATATATATATTTTTTCCTAATAATCAGACCATACCAATTATAGAGAATAAATTCAAGATATAGAAACCTTAACATTTTCCTGAAATCTGTCTTGGCATTTCTTATCATCCAGGAAGATTTGCTCCCAAATATCAATTATAATTTGATAATTGAATTTATTAAAAATAGCTTTTTATAAGGAAAAAGAAAGAATTATATTTCTACTTGCTTATACTTGTTACATTGTAAAATGTTAATTCACTATCTTTTGCTAAAAATAAAAGAAAAAAAAGGTGTGTGAGTAGATGGCTGTAGATTCATCATAACTTCGAAACAAAAGCAATTCGTAGAAAGCTTTTCAGTAAAACATTAATACTTTTATCCAATAAAGACATTCATCTCCAAATTGTTTAACTGAATCAATTCGGTCGATAGAAACTTTGAGTAAAAACTATCCTATACCTTGCAACTATTTTTATTTAGAATTTAATGGTCACTCAGAACCATATATTGATTAGTTATAAACTTATTTTCTTAAACATAGATTTAATAAAGAAATAATTTCTTTCTATATAATTTTAAACAATATATACATAGTTTTTTGGCATCTGTGTAGGTTTATATGTATACAAGCATGCATACATATATTTTTATATGGCACATAATATAAATGTATAATCACTATACTTAAATCATTTCTTTATCAAGTTATAAATTTTAAGTGTACAAATTAGAAAATTAAGAATTGCAATCTAACAAAAATAATGGAAGCTGCAATCTCCTTCAATAATGAAGTGTTATTAAAGTTTTTTATGTTATTCATTAAACATAAATGTTTGTATTTTATTACTGTACAGTGATTTTCTCGTTATAAAACACAAAAGTTCCTCAATAACTTTTGAAGAACTTTTAAGGAGCGAGTTTACAACAATAAACTGGAACAATTGAAGCACTCAAAGATACGATACGGTGGGAGTTTGCTGCCATCACCACATTACCAAATGCCATCACATTAGCAAATGTTTTCGCAAATTTTCAGTCTCGCGTACAAAAGTGCTTGGGGCCATTTTCAACATTACTTTAGGAAGGTCTTGTTTTGCAAACTTTAAGTTAGGTGCGTGTAAATTTTCATAGGAAAATACAATGCAATAAAATAGTTCTTGGAGAATGTGTGGGTTTCCTAGAAAGAATCGACCCGTATTATTAAAATAAAGTCGAAGAATTGATTATTAAACATAGATTGATGAATTCATTTTGATGAATTCATTTTTAATAATAATTAAATAATTAATTTTTTGCTTAAATATTTTTGAATTTTATAATTTATATCTTCAGAAATTATTAGAAAGAAAAACTTAAAAGTGAGTAGTCATTGAAATAATATTACACTTACGCACTTTAATATTTTTCAATACAGTGATCTCGAATTTTGTTTTAAATAACTTACACTTAATTTTTCAGAGGAAGTTAAACTAACATTAATTGCAGTTTATTATATATTTACCAATTTCTAAATTTAATTCTTAGTTTGAAACGAATTAGTTTTTCATTTAAAATTGTCTTTTAGTAGTGCAGTGCCCTAAATCCAATTCTCTAATCTCTAATTTTCCTTTTTTGACGTTAAATAATTTGTTATTCCTATTATGTTCTATCATTATTGGACACTATTGTTAGACGGTATTTCGCTTTTATCCGTTAATCCCCCTTTGCAATCTGTGAGCAATAACAAAAGTCAATAAGAAAAAATGTCAGAATCTGTCTTAAATGATCTGAAATCATTAAGTTTAATTTCTATTAAGTTTTCACTTATTTGAACTGGCATAAATTTCAAAATTTAAGAAAGTTCTCTCTTATTAAGTCAAAAGTTATTCAAGAATTTCTAGAATTCTTTGGAAATGACTCATATACTAAAATTTACTCAAGCATATGTCTACAATAGCATTATAAAATTTAGTTCTATTTGATCTAATTATAGGCTATTATAAAACTATAAGAAGAAATGCAAAACACATTTATATACTTCATATTCATGTAATTCTTATTCTTCTTGAATTTCTGTATTTGCTGTTGAAAATATATAACAGTCCAAATTTTTTATTTCGGTATTCATAATTTGGAATAATTTAGATATAAACAAAAATAAACGGAAAACATATTTACCATTTTACGCGATAAACCAAATGTCTTAGTTTGCAACAGTAGAGCAGCCAGGGATGCAAGGGAGCAATTGCTGTTAATATCCATTTTTTTTTTTTTTTTTAATAATTAAGATTTGTTCATATGTAAGTGTAAAGATACTTGACTGATTCCATGTAAATACAAATTTAAACCGTATAACTCGTAATTTTCAAATATTTAGTAACGTAATAAAGTACAGTATATTCTTCCCTTTTACTAACCTCAAAATTAAGCTTTCTGCCATTTTATAATAATAAAAAATATATAAAGTTTTTAAAAATAAAATATCATAATAGATGGCACCGCACGTACAGTTTTAAATGTTGCCGGGAAAGTTAAACAACTCGTTGCTAGATTTTTTAGTTGCTCCTTTCTATATTTTTAGCTGCACTCCTTATATGAGATCTTGATAGTAAATTGAGTGTAGGGTTGTAAAAGAATATTTAAAACATAAAATGGAAGATCGAATGGCTAAGGTAGTAAAGGCCTTATCACTCTGAAAGGCACTGTATTCTGAGTATTGTTTTTCGTCTTCGTGAGACAGTATTACGTCACAAGCAGATCAGTGATAAGTTAAAAATTTATTCATAATTAATCAACAATATGATTCATTTGAAACGAATTATGTCATTGGCTCCGCTTATCCAGGCTTGCCTTAGCCGTTTTATCAGGCAACGCACCCATTGCCTCTCAAAGACAAGAACGAACGATCAGAATACAGCCCCAGGTTCGAATCTATCCGCTAAGGAATTTTGGCACCAATCCTCACAATATGTCCGATTCATTGTGGATTTGACTGAAAATATAATGGACCGGTCTTCTTAGTACTTGTAGAATGAAAAGAATACAAAAATAAAAGTGCAATTACCAAGTGGAGTGGCCATCATTAAATAGTTAAGAATAGCCCACACGTTTATACATTTTTTAGTAGAAATATCTTTTGATCTTAATTTTAAATTTTTAGTTGAAACTTATTTTTTGGGTTATATTTGTAATTTTTAAACAGATTTTATATTAAATTTTGAAAAATTTTCCTTTTTTCCTTTCTTTTTTGTTTGTTTTTAAAGTATTTGAACAAACAAAATACAAACTAAATAAAATTTCATATATAATATGCACATAGATATGAAATTTTATATATTTTTGTATGTTTGTATTTGTGAAAAGTTAAAATAAATAAATAAGAAGTTTATATTTATTTATTTTAATTTTGATATATTTGAAATACATATTATTAATTATTTATAAGCTCATAATCTAATTACTTTAGAAAAACTATTGTAGTTAATTAATCCTTTGTGTTGTGCTAATGATAACATAGGATCTATTACATTCTGCATGTACAATGTTTATTTTCAGAATCGAGTTTCATGCAAATGATATGTATAATTATGAAAAGTTTGGATGGAAATTCTGAATTATTCATGAATAATTCATTTGTTAATAACATGATCACTAATAATCTACAATTATAGACAATTAAAATCATCAATTAATAATTTTCGATACTTCGTAATAATTTATCATCATTTATAATATAACAAGATGTTTATTTTTATTTATTCTTTTTAAATAGTTGTCTGAACAGTCCCGATGTCATTATGGTATACGATGGAGAAGACAACAATTGTCTAGTAATAGGGGAATTGTGCAACACAAACACATTTGTAGAATATGTATCTACGGGTTCGGATATGTTTATAGAGTTTCTCAGCAGAAGTCATTTCCCAGGACAAGGTTTTAAAGGAGTTTATACTTTCGAAGATGAAAGTACCGTAGTTTCTTATGTCGATGTGCCATCCATTGGTAAAATTTGCTTATTTCTTCGTGCACGTATTTTTTAAATTGTCTGTCTAAATTTTATTTTATTTTATTTTTTCTTGCAGAATCAGTAAGAAGAACTTTGGAGTATCACACGACAACAGTACTACCAGGTAATGCCTATTTTCATGTATAAAAATCTGTATAGTGTATCATAAATCATGTGGAAAAATTGTCGCTGTAAGCAAATATCGATGCTTAGATTTACACTAAAACTTTTAAAATCATTTCTTTTTTATATAGACTGTATTTAAATCATACACGACAAAGACTACTCCCGACATAGATGCATTTTTAATCAATTAATTTATTCATTGAAAATAATGAACTCGGTATAAAGAAAGTGTTTTTATGTGGAGAAGAAATGTATGTTCATGCGATAACATAAACTGATTTTTTAAACGATTCAAAATATGAAATGGAAATTGTTCGTATTTTCATCTAGAATATCAATCGCGTCACGTTCTTTCTCGTGTAACGCATCGCATATACATAATATAATTTATGGAATAAGCCATCTGGACAACATCAAGGTTTTGAAATGCATATCAATGTATAGAATATTTGAAATATAATATACTAAATTTCATCTTATTTTGAAGGTGAATTATTACTTAAATTAAAACGTCTTTACAAAGTGATCTACTGTACTACAATAGTACATTTTTATTCGAATTGATTCGTACGTATTGTACAGTACTGTACATCAAATTATTTTTTAGTATAATTACAAAAATAATAAATAATAATAGATTCATTTGTAATATTTTATAATTAACTTTTATTACAAGATAAAAGTTAATTATAAATGATTACAAATAAGTACTTTTCTAAATCAGAGATTTATTAATGCAGCAGAATTGCTAATCGTTTCCTCTTTTCCGATGTCACATGATCTTGTTAGTCTCATAAATTTCTTACGTAATTTAGAATTACACCGAGAATAAAACTGAAATGGCCTAAGTTGTCAACGTTTGAATTTATTCAAAAATATTCTCGTTTAATTATAATTTGCAACATTTTTTTTAAATAATTTTACGTAACTTCTCGGATATAAATGTTAAAAAAAACTTTCACGTTTTACATTTTTTCTTTTTTTTTTGCATAATAATTCGCAACTTCTCTGCCAAGTTAAAGTGTATTCAGTTTTTCACTCAATAGTTTGATTTAAATTTTATATTAAGCAAGATTTTATCATAGAAATATTGATAATCGATCAAAAACTAATGAAACTCAAATTTATATTGGACCGTATGTCAAGAAAAATTTATAAAAAAAATCTTTCAATGTATTATTAAAGTAAAAAAATTATTATTTTATCGTTTTATAGATTCAACATTCAAATTCTGTCAGGCACACTTTTTGTAAAAAAAAAATCTATATTATTATATATGATAATATTCTGTTAATATATAATTTTAAAATAATAAGTTATAATGAAATATGCTAAAAAAAAAAATAAATAATTTTCATAAAACTTTTATTTCTTTACTTAAAGAAATCGTATTCATGCTGCAGATTAAATGCCTCCAGCATAATAATTGAAATAATTTTTTCTTCCATTTTTTTTCCTGATAAGATTGAATTCTTGCCTAGTTATTTTTTTCGTTCTTCGTTTTTTCAAGCATTAATTTTATTATTTATCATTCTTTCTACTTTACTTTTAAATCTATTCTGGCGCGAGGACCACCTGCAGTCATTTTTGTTATAATTTGCCGAATTTACTCGGCAGAAAATGGATAATAACTTTCTTAGAAGTAGAGCAATGCTATCATAGAAGAAAATCTAAGATAAATGCTCCTCTCTCACGAATGACTCGTAAGAGGATGCATGGCAATCTATCTGCTGCAAGGAGATTATAGTTAATTTAATCACAATAATCGAATGCAAATGAAAATTTGATATGGGATGGTGATTATTCTTAATACGATTATATAAATAAAAAAATGAATAAAATGAAAGAAAAATTAAATCAAATGACATAAGCTCGGATGACAAAGAGGTTCCGAAATCAGCACATTCCAAACGGATGGAAAAAGTAAAGATGAGATGGATCAATAACGTTCAGCACGCATGCTCATCTCTATGCCAGTCTTCAGTGGACGGGACTCTCGATGCTGTAATATGGTGCTGACTTGGTTGACTGTCCAGACCATGCTGAGAATCCTGCTTAGTTTTCTCTTTCTGGCCCTCGTCGTCAGCGCTTGGGACAGATCTTCGGATTTTGGTGAGTGTGGATTTACTCAAATAGCTACCTCACCTGTCTGACATCATCAATGAAAAATTCAGATATTAATTCGGTTTACAAAACAGGAAAATTAACAATTTAATTTATCTAGAATTAGAATTCTTTTAAAAAATTCCATTTAGTTTAATTTATATTACCGAAAATCATCTAGTTTGAATTTTTTTTTTTAATTTTATTTTTAAAAAATGAGATTAGAGTTTCTACAGAAAAAAATTGGGTTTGTAATAAATAAATAAATAATAAAAAACGACGATAAAATTGAATTTTTGTTGTGTTTTAACCCAAATATGTGTGTATTTTTTTTATTATTATTCGTTCTTCCGTTCGGATTTCATCCCGAAGTTTGTATCGAACATTTTCTGATCAATCATTCTTTTTTTTTCTTTTTTATTCTTTTTTGTTGCGAGGACTTCCGTCTTGTCTGGGATATCCAGAAAGGATTCGACCCAGTTTTCGACTGAATCAAATCACTCAGCGGATATCATATCGAAAAGTAGATTAGGAGTTTCCTCGGTATGATGTTTCTTCACTTTTCTTTAAATTTGTGATTGGGTCATTGAATTTTCTTGGGATCTATAATTTTCACCACTTTTTTCAAAATTTCCTTTTGCTGTTATCCGAATTTTGTAAGTGAAATTGGAAGTTATCCAAATATTTCTAAGGTTTAAGAATCAAGTAAGAAATTAATTTTGTTTCACTTTTTTTTTATCTCACAAAGGAGTAATTTTTTAAGATTTGTTCTCGGTTTAATCGCTCACTGCAGCGTGAAAGAGTTTTATTACTTTTCTTATTAATATTCTAAATTCGAATAAAAGTTTATTAATCGATTCTGTTTCACTTCTCGCTTGCCTGACTAGGAGTTATTTTGAATCTTTTTTTTTATGAGAAGGTAAACAACATATTTATTCAATTTTTTTCGTACTTTCTGGAGACTTTCTCCTTGTCTTTCTGCAATTCTGGATAAATTTTTGATTATAATGCATGCATTTTTCGTGATAAAAGCGCAGACATTGTTGCAAATTAAGTGATTCGATCGATCTGTTGTCGCCTTTTCCGACAATAGGCAACACAATGTTAACATTGTTATCGGCTCGGACCATCTATCTTTGGGTCAATTGAACGTTTGCACCATCTGCTACCATTTCTTGATGGAGATGCATCAAATATTTCTATTATAATTCAGATTTGTACGCTATACACACACGCGTACACAAAAATAGAAGAGTAGTTTTTAGAATGCTTTCTTAATTTTACTTTTACACTTGATCAATATTCACAGAATATGATTTTAAAAATTCAATATTCCTATTGTAGTATCCGTACATCTAAATTAATTACGGATATTGCGAATAAGAAGAAAAGAAAAAACACTGCAGCATTTTGGTAAATTGGGTTAACCTTTTCAGTTCGGTAGCGCCATTATCTGGAGACATTTTTATTTCTTTTAGCTATTTCTTTTCTTTTTCTCCATTCCCTAACGACTCTAGCGAGTCAGTAACTGTTTTCGAACCCATTGTGATGTAGTCTCTTTCTAGTGTTTTCCTGCCAGTTCAAAATACGTTTTAGAAGCGAGTTCATTATTCTTTCTTAACTTAATACGTAAATTCTTAATTATCTCTTTCTAAATATATATATATATTTATTTTATTCACGATATGATTATTTTAAATTGTCTCAAAAAGATACAGCGATATTAAATTTCTTTAAAAGGATTATCATTGTTTTCATAGAAGTGATGCTATTTATAGTTCACGGTACTTAGTTTTTTTTTTTTNTTTGAATTTTTTACAGTAAATATCTATTAATTTTAGTTTTTACCTTATAATTCTTTTGGCTTTATTGGCTTTTGAACATCCTTTTTCTTAACTTATAACTAAGTTAGAATGCTTTTCTAAATTTTATATTATTATTTACGTTAATTCTTAACGTTTCAAGCAAAACTAATTTACAGTTTACTCATTAAAAGTATCCATTAAAAATATTTATAGGAGATAAATTGATAGATTAGTGGAGAATTATCAGATATTTTTTTTATTTTTGTAAATTTAAAAACATTTTGTTTTAAAAAACAATAAGGATAAGTTGCATTATTTTTATCGTATTTTCGTAATCTTCTTTACAGTTAAGGATTATATTAATCATTTATTTAAATACAGTATGATTATCGAAGAGTTGATACCTATAAAACTCGATTAACTTAAATATAAAGGTTATAAAATAAAGAAAAAGAAACGAAAGAAAAGAAATTTTGATAGATATTCGATAAACATAATTAATCAAAGTACAGAAATAAGAAAAAATGTATTTAATCTACATCATGTCATAGTTTAATCCAATTAATACGAATATTTTTAATGGTAATTAAATTTTGAATGAATAAATTTTATTATAGGACATCTATTTTTAAATTATTCATCTGTACTTGACTACAGTGTAATTTTTCTAACAATAAACTAAATAAAAAGCTTCAAACAAACGCTTTTCTCTGTTTATAATTCTATTGTTATTCAAATTCTGTTGGATAAATACGTTTATTTTATTTTATTTTATTTTTTACCTTGAAACATTTTTTATACTAAAACAGAATTTAAAGAAGTTTAATTTAAATAATAATCTATTGTTTTATTTGATTTATTTAATCTCATTAAATTAAATTAAAAAAAGACATTTAATTAATTAATTAGATAACTTTATTCAAGTAACAGGAGTTAAAGAAAGCCATGTTCTTCCCATGAAATTAACATTTCAGTAATAAAAATAACTATGTTTGTATTTCAGATTAAAGATTTCATTTATTTATTCACAACTTCCTTCGTCTTTTATTATCACATTTATTTATTTTAATGAATTTTATGCTAAATTTTCACGCAATTTATTTTTTGAGCATCCCATAAATAAGCATAATTTTTGATTTAATTATTCTGTTTATGTGAATTTCATCAATATTATATAATTTAATTTATTATTGTTTTTTTTTAACCTTTCATTAAGGAATTCAATTAGTCCGGATGAGTTATATTTATAACCAGTAGTTCATTACAAACATGCGACTTGCGAGTTATCGATCGCTTACAACATCAGAAAGCTTTTAATTGGTTAGTTGAGCAAACTTGTTGAAATAAAATATACTTTTCGAGATTCCTATTCGACATATTTTGATATAGATTTGAAGGTTTACTATAAAAAAAAAAAAGACATGTTATAGTTTCTAAATTTTTGTTGCTGTAAACAATAGAACAGATACTCAGTTACTATGGGAATATCCAAATACAATAGCAGATTTTTATATTAAAATATTGAAATAAATTAAGATTTAAAAAGAAAGAAATAATAAAACTCAATTTCTGCTTATAATTTGTTTCTTTTTTATTTAATTTTAGCTATGATTATAAATTAATCTGATTTTTTTTTGTATTAAATATTTGGTCTGTTTTCAATTTTACAGTTTAAAAAATAATCATCCTTTCTTTTTTTTTATATATATATTCTGAATTGTAATTCGAAAAACATTTCACAATATATATAAGATGGAAACCAGCATTGTTAGGTCATAAATGAATTATTTATTTCTGAATTAAAAATAAAAATAAATTAATTTTTCAAAGTTATATAAGGTTTATTTGATAATCTTTTACAAAATATAACGTTTATTATTCTGTACATTTTATATTAATTATCTTTTGTTAGTTACATATTTTATAATCGATTTTTTCCCAAGACAAAATGTCTTTTTATGACATAAATCATTAAACTCTACTCATATTTTGACTTTTTTTATGTAGCAACCAGCTGTGATCAACGTATAACCAGTGACGTTACTAAAAATGGAACCTTTACTAGTCCCAACTATCCCGAGCCATATCCAATGCACATCCACTGCACTTATCACTTTATGGGAAGAGGAAAAGAAAGAGTACAGATTTTTTTTACGGATTTCGATTTACATATGTCCCATGAACCATCAAAAGAGTAAGTATAAGTACTTTGATTCCTTAAGTAAACATATTCCTAATAATTTAAATGCTTATTAAGTTAAATATATCATAAACATTGCACCTAAGTATATAAATAATTGTAGAAGAAATAGCAAACATTTTTATCAGTGACCCTAAAATCAAGTTTCAATTATATGAAGTAAGTTCTTGGGTGGTCAATAGATAACAAGAAGGAAACAGTTCAGTTTATATACAGGGAGAAAGACACCAAAATTACATATAATAGGCAGTTCAACATTAAATATTTTGATTTAAATTTGATTAGATATTATCGTACACATTTATTCTACTTCTAAATTCTTCGACTTGCTCTATTTTAAATTAGCTAAATGACAATTAGCAATTTGTCTATATTTATATGTGAATAAATATAGGCCTATATAAGTCATTCAATTATAAAGGATTACTTTTCAGTTCTAAATAAATATATTTTCAATTATGCTATTGTTAATATTTGAAACTGTAATTAAGTTAATGATATTGTAATCTTATTTTAATTAAATTACAACTCTCAAATTATCTAAAATTCTATTACATAAAAGCCATTATAGAATTTAACTCTTCGAAAACATTCAATTAAAGTAAACAGATAATGGCATTTCTAAAGTCTTTTCGTCTTTTAGTTTTGCTTTTTTAAATTGTATTTAGATTTTCAAAAATGTATCATAATTAATTTCAATTACTTTGTTTATATTTATATTTTCGTTTATTTTTAGAAATATCTGGCATTTTACATTAATAATTTCACATTAAATGTATACACATTCAAAAATTATTATTATATTTCAAAATAAGTAATTAAATAGTAATTTTAATGAAATATTTTAATCATTCGTTAATTAATGAAGTATTTTTAATTATTGTTTAATTAATGAAGTGTTAAGAATTTGATTTAAACAACAAAATTCTTAACATTTTTTAAAAGAATAATCATTAGAATGAACGTATTTTCAAATATTAAAGTCCAAAGATAAATTGTTAAAGGTCAGAGACACTTGATACAGTTGCAGAGAATATCACTTTTCTCAATGAAGCTTTTATAAAAATCTGATTTCCTGTAAATATCTTCTCGCTTTTTTTTCCTTCCTTTGTAATATTGTGTTCATTTATTTTATATCGATAAATCTTTCTACTTTCTTTTATTATCTACTTTTGATTTTATTCTCTATTCTCCTTATAAAGATTAGAAAAACTTTTTTTTGGAACGTTCATTTTTTTAAACTGAAAATTAATACTTTGTTCAAAATAATTGATTTGATACTTTATATAATTTATAACTTATCTAGAAAGTCTAGGTGATGGCTTAGTCGTTTCTTGAAATATAAAATTGGAATTACTCAAAATAATAGTTGAATGAAAACTCTACCTTCATGTTTCAATGATCAAACAATATACTTTAAGATCTTACAAAATCATATTAAATATGAAGAAAAAATTAAATAACCATTTTTTAATAACATTAATCAGCTGCTAAGACCTAAGTTAAATGACATTTGCTCCATATCAGTAGGATATTGCTTACAGCGCATAACACTTGTTTCGAAATTTATCTCATAAAGAGGGGGAAAAATGCGTATAAAATCATATTTTAACTCATAATCTGCATAATTATTATTTTAAAATTTATTCAACACTCATACTATTAAAAAATGAATTTCTTTTCAATTAATTATTCCAAAGGTGTAGTATTTAAACTAATAGGTTTAAATTTCAGACGTTTAGAAAGATTATAATGGTTAAAATAATGTCTAATTTATCTTTGATAATTAAGAATTTAGATCTATACATTCACCCCAAATATTAAAGGGTTTAAAAGAATATCTGTCTATAGATTTAAAACAGGTGGAGTATATATGTATGTATTTCTTAGTTTAGGAATTAGTTTGTTAGAATAGGTTACATTAGAATAAAATTACAGTAGTTTTTCTTAAATAAAGTACACAAAACAGTTTTATTTATAAATGATAGGTTTTAAAATGCTTAGTGTAATCATTTGATAATAGACTGTAAACTATATTTTTCAGAATTTTACCTATAGATTTATCAGATAAAAATGATATTTTAGTATATTATTTATTAACTTTGCAAAATAATAGATTAAAGTGTAATGCATTAAATTGATATTTTATAAATGAGTAAATATAAAAATTATTTTATTTATAACACCCAAACAATTATTTTGCATAAAACATTTAAACTAAAATAAGAATCATTCATTGAATCATGTAAAATTTATAATTACTTCTTTAATATTTGATATAGTAATTAATTTTCCATTCCACACTTTACACTCCTTCAAAATTCCTTAATTTATTACCCATTGAGTTCGAAAAAGCGAAATAGGCAGTGTGTTGTATATAGGCGTGAAAAATGATTCACATAAATAGGACAGTTATGGGAATATCTTTAGATATCTCAGAATCCTTTAGTAGTATTTGACGAATCTTTTTGACAGCTCCGTTATCAAATTTAACTCGTAATCTTTCTAAGGAATTGAAAAATTGAATTTCAAAGAGATTTTTTTCTTTAATATTTATGTAAGACACGCATTCTCTCTCTCTCTCGTTTTTCTCTAAGATTAAATACTTTTAAAGGTGATTTAAAATCATTCGGTTTAATATATTTGGCACACCGACAAGTATTTAAACGTATAACAAAATGGCGTATTTCATAAGATTAGAAAACCGAATTTATGTTAATTATTTATAAGATAATTACTAAAACTACATTTTCGTTCATCCGCTCTTGGCTAAATACTCAACAGATGTCTTTAGATAATTATTCAATATTTCAGAAACTGAAACAGCTGAAAATAATTGCCCTTTATAATTTGACTGTAATAAAATTTAAATATCGAAATTTTATGACAAGAATTTATATTAATTACAAAATATATATTTTTCTCTTTTAGTTGCGATTCAGTTGATGCAGTTATGGTCTTTATAACAATTAATGGACAAAAAGAAAGAGTAGATAATTTCTGTGGTAAGGATCTTCCTGCCCAGTTGATGTCTAATGGAGCTTCGATGATTGTAGAATTTCGATCCATACATTCGTCTCCGGATGTAAAAGGATTTAGAGCAATATACAGATTTGTAACAAGTAAATTTAAATATTTTATTATTAAATAAATCCGTTTCCAATATTTTTTGTGTGAAATATATTTTGAATCATTTATTACTTCCGTTTAAATTATTAATAAAGAGAAAAATAATATTTATTTACAGATTTCGGAATAACAGGTTTCAAACAAGATTCGCAATCTGGTAAATATTTTTATATAATTAATTTCATATAACTGTGACGTACTTATGCAGATGCTGTGAGTGTTGAAGAGACTTCAGGAATAAAAATTATAAAAATAAATAAATAATGATAAAATTGTTTATAAATAAACGGTAATTTATGGTACGCTTAACTTTTTCTTCAGTTATTCTGATTGTACTTTTTATATCATTCTTCCGCATCATCCTCCGAGAAAAATCTTAGTTACGCCATTGCATATATGTATAAAGAAAAACATATTTATATATACGAAAACTATAAAAATACATCCGTAAAGTCTAACAAAAATATGTTTAAATTTTTAGTGTGTGGTTTCATCTTTAATAGTACAGAACGCTCTAACGGTACGTTTACAACTCCTAATTGGCCAGGATACTACCCTAGAGACACTGAATGCCATTATTTCTTTTATGGGCAAGCGAAAGAAAAAGTTCATATTACTTTTGCGTATTTTGACGTGGATGGCATACCTCCGTGAGTATAAAAATTTGATATTGTTTTTTTTTTATGGAAACAGATCAATATATATAATACTAAAACTTTTTGTTCATTGTTCGATATTCCCTTTCAGCAATAAGATGTTTTCTATAAGGTAAAAAGGTAGAATCTGCCATGGTTACTTAGTCTCAAATAATTCGTAGTTTACACGAAAGTTTTGAGGGCGTCACGTAGTGTGAACTCATTCAGTGAATGGTCTTACTGAACGACTTTGTACCGTGTGATACCCTTAACACGTTCGTGTTGCCGTATGAAGATCTAATCTAAACATCCTGAGCGTCATTCGAACCGGGTCATTCTCCTGGTAAAAACGCAATTCCTTTCACACTAAAAGGCATTAAAACATTCTAAGAATTTCCTTCTTCTGTAAAAGAATTATAATTAAGGATAAAATATCTAAATTTCTTTTTTTTTTTTATCTCGTTAACCACACTACTCGCATATTGAAGATATAAAAAATGTTATAAAAAATTAATTTGCATTTTCATTATAAGAAAATAATGCTGCTAATAAAAAATTATTTAAGTCATTATAAATATCAATTTTCTTTTTTTATACAGCGCTAAATTTCAGTTATAGAATTGTCTATAATTCAGAAATAATAAAGTTTTGCATATAGAATTGCAACATACCCTATTCTAGAAGCATTGTGTTCATCCTTGTAAATGTCCTTTATTGAAAACATTATCGATCTTTATCGGTATAATGCGCTTACTAACTTCGAAGATATCCTAATTTAGCTGTAATATATATATTATTTTTCCTTATTAACACTAATTAAAATACGAATTAATTTTTGCTTAATGTTCTTTCGTAATATCATTTTCCCAAGTTTTTCATCTAGTATAAGATTTTATAGCTATAATTTAGCCTAAATATTCTTCTAATATGACATTTATATTGCAAAAGCACAGTTTTTATTTTGACATAAATACAAATCTAATTAATATTTGTTTAATAATACTATATTATTTGATATAAATCAGATCGGACGAATATTGCATTTATATTAATTATATTCGTCCCGATAAGAAAGTACCTGATGAATTCATTATATTATATGAAAATTATATTATTGGAGTTTTTAATCATGTTAAAATTTATGCAATCATAATTGTGTTTTATAACCAACAGATGGCGTTACTTGCTTAGTTTTATTCAGGTATAGCATTATTCATGCAATCACTAATTAGGATATTATTTTTTTCTTAATTATTATTTTGAAATCAATTTATATTTTATAATGATTTTATTGTTGAATTTTATTAAATAATTTTTTNAGTTTCATAAAATTTCATAATTAAAAAATAAAAATGCTTACGAGAACTTTTTGCAGGAACTATGACATTATACCAAATTAATTGAGCTTTCTCTCTCCTGAATTATTCTGATTTTGATTAATCTTTTAAAAATGCTAATGTCGTCCTCCAGCTGGAGAAAATCATTTATTATTCTCTAATCTTTTCTGACATACTTTATGCAAGTACATTAGTAATTTTCATAACGCAATGTAAGAAACTAATCATGCATTATTTAAGTTTCATATTAACCACCGGCTTCTTCAATGATTAAAAATTTAATAAAATATCTTTAACAACCAAGTAAAATTCAATTATACAGATAACCAAGAGAAACTAAAAGAGTATCCACAGCTTCTTTGTCTTGTAGCTCTATTATCTCCTTATCTCAACGACTAGTGGGAGTCTCAAAATACACATCTAACGTTTCCCCAATGACTATCTCAATACAGCTTCTGTCTTCGGATCTATTTTCCTGCTTACTTCAATCGTTTCTTTTATATCCTCAAAATAAACCATCAACATAATCTAATTGACATAATTAATTTGATAATATTCCAGTGCTTATCGATAACATCCAAACATCTTATACTTGTATATTAAACAAATAAATTCATTTAAAATTAATATATTATGTTAACTTTAACTGTTTCTTAGGCATATAAAACGGAAGATAAAAAGGTTAAGCGTTAGTTTTGTTTCAAATCTGAGCCACAGTTTATCTAGAAAAACAAAAATGTATTTGTCAATAGTAATTTTCTGTAATGAATAGCTCTTGGTATGTTGTCTATTCTCAGTTGCCTGCGATTTTCCAAAGAAATATGGCGAAACAGTATACAAATATCTGCATAGAAGTTAAAAAATATATGTTTTCTGATGTTTTACATTCTAAAATTGATATTTATCTTAAAGCCAATGTGAGATAACGTTCATTTCTTCATTCGTCTCCTCTTTACAACGCGTCGTGATGAGATATATATTTAAATAGCTGCCATTTTGCTTTTAAATAATGAAGGAACACGAAAATAGTTTTTATGGTTACCTTCATATAAAGAAAAAAAAATCTGTCAACTGTATTTTTCCTAAAATGAAACTTTTGAGATACAGATATTGACAGGCTGAATGACTGCTCGAAAATTACATTGATTAAAGCTCTAATGTTATAAAATATATATATATATATAAAGATTTTTAAACAGATAAATGAGTTTTCTAAACTTTATTCTTAAATATTTTTTTTATTATTACATTTATTATTTTTTGCATAAATTCTGTGAAATTAACGGATTTCAAAATATTTCCTTTTTTCAGATGCACTACCGATTCAGCCAGCGATTACGTGGAATTTTCCAATTTTAAAACCGTGGATAGAAAATTGGCAAGACATTGCGGTCATAAAAAACCAAAAGTGATCGATTCTGATGGAGATTTCTTTCGCGTCACTTTTAAATCCAATGATAAATTCGATGGTACAGGATTTGAGGCTTTTTACCAGTTTAGAACACATATGGGCAAGTATTTATAAGGTATTGTTTTAGTGTCGATAAAATTCATTTTAGCATAACAATAAATTACTTCGATTTTTAATTTCTCTAGACCCGTTTACAGTGAAAAGAGTTTCCACTTCTAACGGAAATCACGGCCGTGAGTATCAGCATGTGTTTATTATTTAAAAAAAAATGATGTTGTTTACTAACTGATTCTGTTTTTAGGTATCACTAACATCTATAACACTTCGACTGTATTCCTTCTACTGATTATAGCAAGCGTGATTCTTTACCTCTAACTAATCAATTTAGTTTTTTTAATTAATTATTCCTTTATTTTAATCTCTTAACCTACCATAAGAAAATAAATGGTAGAAAGGAAGAGAGGGATTAAAAACTAGAACACAAAATACTTATACAAAAGAGACTAGAAATGTAATTTGCTCTTTTTTCCACGTCGATGCCAATTCGAACAAAAAAAAAACCTAAAAAAAATTGAATTCGGAAAAATTTCAGCTACGGCCAGGAGCTATAGACATTGTGATAGTGATGCGTCATCTCCTGGTATCTGGTAAGGAAAACAACCATGCAAACTGACGTTTATCCAACATAAATCTCATTTATATGTGCGTTTTTTAGCATTAATTATATTTATGAAACAATCAGCAATAATGAACTTTGAAGGACGTTTGCTGAAAGAATTATTGTCTTGAGGACTTTTATATTTTCGTTTCACGTTTTATGTTTTATTTTAACTTTGTTATTTCATCTAGTGCTCAATGGAAATTGTCAGTTTGGATGAGTAAACAAAAAATTTCCTCTTATTGGAGTTGGAACCTATGAATTTTTGAGAGAAAGACAATCTTGTTCACATTTTTATTTTTTGTGCCAAAAATTAAAAAAAAAAAAAAGACCAAATAAACTCTCAACAAAAGAAATCAGTTGAATTAAGTACAAAATAAAGAATATCAGTAGTGTTAGATAGTTTATCTTATTTCAATTTAAAACTGAATGAAGAAAAATAATGGATCATTTGTCATTCCATTAATTTTGGAAATAAACTTTTTTAATTCTAAAACTACTAAATGATATTCCTAAAACAATTTTAACATTTTATCATTTCAACTTTTGATATCAAATGTTTAGTGTTTTACGTTTAATGCAATGTAAAAAATTCTGTTAATTTCTGTATTTCACTAACATTTAAATTAATTAATTTAGAAAATTACTTTTCTAATTACATGACAACTTACATACTTAAGACATTTTAGTAGCATTTCTATTTCTTTCTCTCTCTCTTTTTTTTTACTTTTAATATTTATAACTTTTAATAAACTCGTTTTTAAATTTATGCAATAACATTTTTGTTAAATCTTGTTTGATTGCATTTTTGTATATTTGTAAAAGGCAAATAAAAAAAAAATCTAGGCAATCAGGTCTTCAATAACAGTCAATTAATAATAATCGTATATTGCACAGCCTAACAAAATTTTTAAATATTTCTTTTTTTTCTTTTTTTTTTAAGTTTTTAGTTTCGAGAACAATTAAATAAAATTGCTTTTATTTATAAATTAGTTACATCTCATATAATGCGAAATGAAGTCTATTTACTTGGAGATAAAAAACAAAAAATAAAATAAAATTTAATTTAAACTACGGTATGTGCTGTTTAATTGTCATTATTCACTTTCAACAAAACCTATTACAACATTTAATAGAAAAAAAAAATCGGTACGAAATCATTAATAGAAAAAATACGTGACAAAAAAATAATAAAAAAAAGTTATTAAATACTAGTTAATAGAATATTAAAAACATTGATGGTCATGGGCATGTACTCCGAAGTGTACTTGACCTACTTTATCAATTGGTTCCATTATACTTTCGCTATTTTTATTATTGTAGTGTATATCCCCATATTCTTACTCGCGTAAATGATCAGTATATCCTCTCTTTCACTATCTATTCTCAAATGGACATTGGCTGACCGAATACAGATCATGATAGTCGTTTACCTTTTCCCATACAATGGGGGGCGTTGGTATAACTGCAGGGCAGACATGACGTGAGCCCTACCTGTATTTCACAAGTCACCTGTAAATCCCGTCACAATTATACTTCAAGGTACATAAAAGTCGTTTTCCCCTCCCCCCTCGGTCTGTTCCACATAATAATAACATACACACACCCCTGTCCATTTTACTACTACTAGCCTAATTTCCAAACTCGTTTGACCTATAAGTTTCCCTTTTCGTTTTTATATCGATTTTTATAATTATCTAAAATGTATTCATTATACACAAAACACGAACTAAATTTATCAGTTCTTCGGAGGTTAAATAATAACGAGACATCTTACAAAATATATATGTCATAATCAAGGTTGTGTTTGTTATAAAACTCGCCTATAGCTATAGGCCATTTTTTTCTATTCTATTATATAAAAGTCATCATTTTAAAATTAATTATGTACGTGAAAGCATATAAAAGTAAAAATCGAATTTATCATCATTAAGTTAACAATTTTAACCAGGATTCGATTTTATAAAGTGAAAATCGTGTAAACAAGATAAAAACATTACATTTTTTTTATAAAACAGTTCAATTTCTCTGTAACCAGATATCAATAATCCATATATAGATAAACATTACAAAATATCTTATCTAAAGGTTACGCAGGGTTATACATATGACACAGAATCATGTTAAACCTCAGAAAAAAAAACTTTTTTTTTTTAATCGATACATTTCAAAGCTTAAAGAGAAAAATAAAGGTTCATGAAAAGTGAGACTGTTTTTGAAAAATGAAATTACATTATATCTCACTTCTAAATTCTTTTTTATGATAAATCTTTTAAATCAGAGGAACCCTGACATTGACACAGAATAAGAATAAATTACAAATTGGATGAAATAAATATGAAATAGGAATTAATAATATAGACCTACTTTTTTTTTTAATTAAACATAAATAAAAATTCAAATGCTCGCTTTACTTTTAAATATATATTAGTGTTATTTTTAAATATAATAAAATGTGTTCATAGATCTCCTTCAAGTAATTTATCAGCCTTTAGATAAATTTATTGACACCTCAGAAATTGCTAATGACCAGGTTGAGAACTCGTTTTACCCGTTCGTCATTTTTTTAAAATTATTTTCAAGAAAATTATTATGATTTATTTATTTTTTTAATATAATAAACAAACGATACCGCCGGATTTTAATCGGGTTACAATATTATACTGTATTAATAACGCCCGATTAAAATCCGGCGGTATCGTTTATTACATATAAGCCCGAACTAATATAAGTTTTCAGTTAAATAAAATATTATTTTTTATGAAAAATATAATTTTATTTTATTTTATAATCGATTTACCGGTAAGTAAAGGGGACATTGATTTTTTTTTCTCTTTTTTTTTCATTTGTTCCGAGTTATAAATATTTGATATTAAACGAGAGTTTATTCCGAAACATATGGAGAAGAAAAATTAATATTATTTGATATTCTAAATTCAAACAATTATATATCTATTAAGATTGAAATTTGCAATTAGTTATAATAATCCAATAATCGATATACTATTAATAATAAAATCAAAATAAATTAGCTCGCTCTATCGATTTTAACGTTCAATAAATATAACAAATACCAATTAAAATTGTTATCATCTTTATATAAAAAAATATGAAGAACGCTATTCAATTATCAAATTTTCGTCATAATTTTAATTTACTCCCGTTTTTTTTTTAATTATAACACTAAATTAATGGATAAATCTATAGAATTTATACAATTTCACAAGCTTATTAAGAAAAAAAAAATTATTATTATTTCATATAGAATTCAGTCTTGTAAATTTTAATAAACAAGCCGCCATTACTGTCAATCATTTTTTTTCTTTTTTTAATCTTCATCAACCAACGCTTCGTTAAACTCGCGAATCCGTACGCCGCATTTAATTAAAATTGGCACAGGACCAGCAAACGTCTATAAAGAACGGCTTCCCACATTATATCTATTTATCAATGTAACTGTAGGTTTTTTTTCCCAATTAATTAAATGTATTACGGAAACCACTCTTTTATAATTCAATTGCACGCATTCGGAAACTATTATTATTTTTTTTTTCGAATTATTCATTAAGTAATTCGTTAACCCTTCGAAATAACAAAATAGTGATGACTTTTCTTGTTTTAAAGATTCGTGAATTGAATTCTTCCGCCCTATTCAAAACGTCGTGTAGTAGTTGTTACTTTACGCAACAGAGGGCATACCGATCGGGTCTTCAGATTTTTTTTTCTTCTTTAAAATAATAACGATAACAGTTATTAATCATTCCAATGATTGTTTGTTCACGTTAAACATTATTTTGCGGTTTTACTTCTCTTAGTTATAAAAGTGTGATAAGAATATTTAAAAAAACGGGAAAGCGACCTTGACCTTCAAACGCCAATCATTTTTAATGACGTCACCCCAGCGGCAATTCGTATGAATTTCGTGTACTATTGTTAAAAAACTTCAGTTTAAAACATCAATTCTATCGTATTGTAAAATTAAACAGCTGGCATCGGGTTTTAAATCCGAAGTATAAAACTTTAAAAAAAAAAAAAATCTATTATGACGTCTAACAAATGACATCACGAATGACTGGCTATTTTTTTAAATCACGCGGTCTGTTCACGTGATGCGTTTCAAAAACAAACGTGACCGTGACGTCCGACCACGTGATAATAATAATAAAATTATTGAAAGTAGGTTTATTAATTAGCTACTAAGGTTAAATATTAATCATTTTATTTATTGAAATTTCTTATCCAGATTAATTGGTTTAGTTCATGGATACAAATGAAAATAATTTTAAATTATTTAAGTGTCGACATCTACTGATAATCGTTAGCTGACGTTTTATTGTTATCTTCCTTTTCTTTATTTACCATTTAAATATTATTCAATTATTTTCTATGAATTATATAAAATTAATTTTTTTTAAAAGCAAAACGAAGTATATATGTAAATGTTTTTAAAAATTATAAGATTTTCCGATTTTTGACGCGTCATCTCAAAAAAATGATTATTGAATTTTGTTTTTAAATTCATCTGTTTATTTATTTAAAATAAACAATTATTACGGATTTAATAATTCAATGTTTTTAATTTATTATTAAATATCTATTGTTACACGTGTTACTTAAACAATTAAGAAAATATTTAACAAAATTTGAGACACGGTAATTTTTTATATCGATGAGAAGATTTTTTTTTAAATTTAAATAATATCTTAAGTGACGGTACCGTTTAGTAAAGTAAATACGAGTAAGTTCAAACTTTATATTTATTTATTCAGAAAATAATTTATTGATTTTTTTCTGAGCTTTATTGTGTGTGTCTATATATACATGTAAACTTATAAACACTACTAGGAGGGAAATTTACAACATTCATTTCTCGAGTTTTTCACAGTCTCAAGTGAAATGAAACACTATATATATACGTAAGTTATATTTTTCTCGTACATCACAGTGCAAGACTATAGCACGTCAAACCGGCAGGAAAGGAAATCGAATCACTTCCTTGTTAATTTTACATCTCCACTTAATTGTAGAGTAGAAATTACACACGAAACAAACATCAAATGAATCAGAAAAAAATATATAGTTTACATATACAATTTCTATTAACATTTATAATTTTGGGAACTGACAATTTACATATATTAACTCTCAGAGTTATATAACAACAACACTTTCACTTCTACTATCTATAATAGAATGTGAAAGGGATAATAAGTTCACGAATTACAATTTTTTTTGAGATCAACCCTTCCCACAAAAATATATAATGATGATAATAATTAGCCCAGAAACCGATGAAACGGTTACACAATTTCCAACGGTTGACAAAACTTGATCTTTGACTTCATATCAGTCCATACAAGATATCAAAGGATACATGTACTGAACTGTTAAAGTCCATAGCAACTATTGGTGTAGATATATATCTATATTTGTGGGGATTAATCGAATACTGTAATAAGATACTGACCCTGCTTAAATTCTTTCCGATTTATCCGCGAACTCGATACTTTTTGATAACTCGACACCGGCCAGCAGTGACTTTCAATGTGAGGAATGTTTTCCTAGTTGTATTTGTTTTTTCCCTTCGATTTTTAAGTTTTGTGCGTAAATTAGAGCGTTTTAAGATTGCAAAACAAAATTTTATTCACTCGCATGATCGTTCCACTTATTGCTCCTAATGTCCTTATACCAGGATTTTTATAGTATTTTTTAACCACAGGACGGGACACCACTCAGTTCGCTATAATATTGGGGATTTTGGCGAACCGGACCGTAGATTTTTGCATAATGGGATGAAAAGGTAGAAACACGTTAGCTCTACGTTGTCGAATGCATATATATATATGTATATATGTTTTCTTTTTTTATCTTTTCGAAATGTGAGTTATATCATTTTTAAAATCTGTACTCTCATATAAAGCAATCTTCAGAGTACTCTTCACGCGCACGACATCCACCTGTTACTGCAATTACAGGAAGGATATCCGTTAGGGGACATGTAAGGTGTGTAAAAGTAACCTTCCCCGAAAACGTAACGGTTTGAACGACAATTTTTTTTCCGATGTCTGAGTTTAGATGCTAATCGCTGTTGTTCCTGAAAGTATACTTGATAGGCTAATTCCTCAATTAGGGCCAGTGTCTGTCTCCTTTCATAACCCATCAGACACACGGTACTCTCGTCTACGACTTGATGTAATATCATAAGGTAATCATACTTACAATGATCGTCACCGATGAAGTGAGTTGCTAGATAGTTTTCCAGTTTTATCCGTTGTTGAGCAATGTCCCCGAAATCGATGAAAAATCGAGAACACATGTATCTCTCCAACGTTTTGATTTGGTCTGCATCTTCGGCTACGTAGTCTCTTACCAGTAAGTTACAATACTTTAAAAGTCCCCCACCTCTTATTTCTTCCGGATTCCGAGTGGCTATCAGTCTCTTCTGTAAATGATATAGGGCCTCCGAAAAGTCCCCATAAACACTGTCTCCTATTACAGTAGGGTAAAAAGTTTCGGTCATTGGCATTTCGGCACAGTCATAAAACAACAACAGACTGTCTAAAACTATTTGGAACGAGTCAACGCTGAATTCGAACTGTCTTCTCATCTTGTCTACAAATTTTAATTCCACATTCCTTCCGCACTTGTTACTGAGTGATATTAAACTCCATCGGTCACTATCCGTAACTTTCACCATTTTGTGTACATAAGCTTCTTTCAAACTACAGCTACTCATTCTTTTCACTCCTTCTGGAAGAAAATCGAGTAGAGAGTCCAAAACGGCTGTTTTGATTTTATCGAAGTTACGCGGATTGGATAGATCAACCAAAAATATTAAGTCCAGGTCATTATAGGGAGTTTTTTCAGAGGCTAGGATGTAACTTGCAGCTCCTCCATTCAGTCTTAAGTCACGCACATTCACTCCGTCCTTCTGTAATTGACTGCGTACGTGTTTGACCAGATCTCGAAGTCTGATCTCCAAAGTTGGAAAATTTCCACGGCCGTGAAGAGGCACTATCTCGTTCATGACTTGATCCAATCTTTTCACTTGCTCGTAAGTCAAAACGGCATACCTTAGCTCGTTCTTTTCTGTATCCGTATCGATGACTGGTTTCATGTCTTCCTCGTCGATCTACGGAAAATAAACAAAAGAAGGAAAAAATCGACAATTGGAGGTGTTGGTAAGTGACAAATCCTAACCCCTTTCCTACTCCCTCCAATGTAAAGAACTCACTTAACTACTAGCACACTTTAATCAACTGACTCTGACCAATTACATCGCGCATTTCCTCCGCGCTGAAAATAATCCCTCTTTCTCTACTGACATAAATCCACGAATTTATCGATTTTTAGTCAGTAATGAATTTAATTGAATAACGAAAGTTAATTTTAACGTGAATATTAATAATTCAATGCGAATTAATCCGCACAGCTACTTCATTAGTGAACTATCTATTCAAGGTTGTCAATCAACAGAGCATGTAAAATATCCTTACGCTTAGATCACGTGATCGAAACAGCTGCACCGGTAATGACATTTGAATAGCAAGCACTAATTTTGCAAACTTTAATGCACATTATTTAATAAGTTCTAAAAAGCGATCAGTCAGCATTAAAGAAATCTTATGGCAGCAGCATTAACTAAGTTCTGGTAGTTGTCCTTGAAGGGCTGATGTCATTGTTGATTTTAGATTATTATATGGTCAAACTATCTCTTTAAAAGGTTATGTACTAATCAATAAATTTTTTAACGTCATAATCTCATCCTTACTGTTTAACATAATGAAAGAGCGCATTTGTACGTTCTTAATTCATTAATTACGGTCTCATCTTGAAAACAGATTGCCTTATGTAATTGAAATCGATATATCAATGATAAGCTGTCAAATTTTAACTTGATCAATAGTCGGCATGAACGCGCCATAATTTTTATCTTAATAAATACGCGGGGGCGAATTACATATACATAACATTATTATTATTATTAATGGATTTGTTGGCTAACTAGCACTCTGCGTGGGTTGATTTAGTCCGGCCATACTGATAACTTTGCAAACAGTCTACAGAGATAAATATGTTTTAAGCCCAATTAATTAGTTTACATTACAAGTGAAAAAAAAATCTTTATCAATAGCCAGAAAGAACCTTTAAATATGGTCCCTAACTTATCTCTATAGCCAATACAGAATTGTAACATATGTTATATATAGTTTCAGAGTTAATATTTTGGCAGTATTATAATAGTTTTTGTATCATATTTAAATATTATTTAATGACTTGAATTTTGAAATGTATTTTACAAAATAAAAAAATATATAATAATAATTCTAATTTTATTATTAAAAATAACTTTTTATTTTAAACTAGTTAGTTTAATTAATAACAACTTTTACAAAATGGAACATATGTTTTTGATCAAAACGAAAATCTTTTCAGATTAAACGATTTATAAAATAAGCCATATGGGAAAGTTTCTTTGATTGACATATAGCATTTCGGGAATTACGCTACACCTGTACGCTAACAGGTAAAGCGGAGAAAACTAAATGACGGGGTACCGTACGTTTTTGAATAAATCATTGCTCTTTTTAGCAGAAAAAAAGTAAAAGGGAATTATACAGTAATTATGTAAAAACAACATAAACACGAGGAATTTATATTAGTAAAGAAGCGCTATCTAACGGAATACAGGAACGAATCAATATCCGTGTTACGTCACAGAATACGATTCCTGTCGGTCCATATGGTATATGTTAAAAATCGACTGTTTAATGACAAAAATCAGTTAAACGATAAAAAAAGCGCAAGATGTCGAAATGTTCTGTCATATCTTTTACAGCCCTCTTAAACATTATTCCATACCAACTTACATATGTTATCACTTGACAACCACATTCCGATGAAAATCTCGGTAAAAGATACTTACCACTAAGTTATCTTCTATAATTTCGGAACATAGAGCATCGTAAGGAAGAGGAATAGAGTCAGTTTCCATTATTATATAGTTGTGTTGTGTCTTATAACCGTGAATGTATGGAACGTTGCTTGTACCTTAACTGACAAATCCGCTTTCATCTCTGACGTTGTTCCTTAACAGCCATCTCGTACACGAAACTGACCAATAGCCATTCTTCTGTAGCATCGTTTCCCGTGACAACCGAACTGTTGACGTACTTAATCACGTGGGTGAAATTTCCCGCCATCTGAATGGAATCTTCTAGAAATTTTTAGTCGATGCTACGCATCTTTTAGTAGTATATTATTATACAAAAAAAAACATCTATTAGTTTTCTAAAAATTCTATTCATTTATAAATACATTAACAGTACAGGCGTGTTGTTATGGTTGCTTGATTGTATAAATTACAATTATCCAACATATTTCCCTATTTTGTATGTATGGGTAGAAATCATGTGGTAACGTTTAAATCGGTTATATGTGGTTTTGTAAAATTAATTTTTATTTAAATTAATTTTTTAAAAAATTACAATTTTTATTGTTCGTGTTTTTCGGTAAGATATTAATTAATAGAGTATCAGAAGTAATCTGTTAATGGATTGACAGAGGAGATATAGTAAAAATATATATACATTTATAATTTATTCCTGTCAAATCTACGAATTTAATAAACATACTTATCTATAAGTATAAGGTTTCTTTATCGTACTATAACATTTACAAGTTCTGACAGTTCAAAACGGTAGTTAATAACATATATTAAAAATCATTAACATTTACGCCTCTATAATATATATATATATATGCATTTTAAAAAATAATATATAGAAAAGAATAACCTTTAATTTCAATTTTTTCAAAATTAATTGATTTAATAGTCATCATCTTTTAATCTATTAATTAGCCGCCATTATTTTTGTTGTGTTTATTTCAATAATTTTTCGCGTTTTTATTAAGTTATAGTAAAATAAATTTTAAAATTTTCTCATGTAGCGCCGCAGTATATTATGTGTAAATAGCTGTTAAAGAACTAATGAAACATGAATGGCGATTACAGTCGGTATTGATGACGTACTTGGATTGTGACGTCAATTCGACGCGAGCAAAATCGATCAGGAACATTATGACGTCAACAGAGGCAACAACCTCGAGTATTTTTGGCATTTTACCTATTTTTAACAAATTAATTACACACTATTCATAAAATTCCATCTTCGTAATAAATTTATTTAATTAACTTATTTATATTAAACAAAACATATTTTTATCAATTAAAAATTATTATTTAAAAAATATATTTTAAAATATTCATTCATTCATAAAAATTTGCTCTCATAAATCAAACCATCGTTAAAAGCAGTTTTCCTGCCAACGTAGAGTCATAGCAGGGAAGCCATTAACTGCGTAGGGGGAATATATTGACAATATATTCTAAAAACAATATTCGGCGGTTATTGGTCGATCACTACTTTGACGTAATTTGAAAATTATCTAATGGTTGTTTGTATGGTTTTGAATTTCGTAACACATTATAAGCAAATTTACTAATAACAGTTTAAATTAAATTATATCAACTTCAATAATGATTTACGGAATAAAATGATCAAATTATATTTTTGTTTTTGAGTTAAATATATAACATTGCCATTATCATAACGCATGCCTTAACAGATACAAATATTCAGTAAAAAGTAAATGGTGCGGTGCAAAAGACATTATATATTCTAAAGTTGTGTGTGTTATTTTATGTAAATAAGTCGAAATGTTCAAACTTTTTAAGAATTATCCACAAAGAATATATTATGACGAAATTTTCTTTACTTAGAATTGTCAAACAAGTTTTAAGTGCTTTTTTAAAAAAAGAGAGAATGAAAGTAAATTCCCAAAGAACGGATTTTTTCAAGTAAATTGCATCAAGAAAATAATTATTCGGGAGTCCCGAGGCAATTCGAAATGAGGTCTATCATAATAACGATACTGCATAAAATTATAAGCTCTGGGAGGGGCTCACAGTAATAAGTGCGTAAGATTTACGTAATTTAAATTTTGAAATCTCCATTTAACCACAAACCAGATTTTTTATTCATTAAAGCAAATCTAATCAAAAGCAAGTAAAAACTAATGATCTTGTATAGTTTTCGTTCCGGTTTTGATTTTGATATATATTTTTGTAAAGGAAATCAAATCGAAAGTAATAAATAAACCAACTTCATCAAGTAAAATTTAAATAGGTACATTTTCTACTCGTAATATATGGTTTATATAAAAAATAAACAAAGGTTAGTTGTATTTTAAATCGAAAATTATTGATAAATTAAAATATAACTAACTTTTATAAGTATTCCTAATACAATTTTTAAAATGTTTCTTGTCAAACTTTTGGTATTACTTATTTCCCAATCTTTCAGATTTTCCTATGTATAATATTAGAGAAATAACCAGATGTTGATTTTTTTTAGTTGTGCTGATTCGACTGCATTTTATCAGATGACATACGGAACCAAGTTAATCGAACTTTCGACAAACAACAGGATAATCTTATCTTAAGCACAAAAATAAAAATTGTGTATTTATCGGTACGTATTTCTTAATTAGTTTGATAATGCAGGTATGTTGATAAATTAAGAATTTAACTATTTTCTTATTAAAAAAAAAAAAACGTTGTTAAAGAAGAATTACTTATACACACAGTTCTTAACAAACATATAGAACATCGATAACAAATTTAGTTACTGTGAACGCACAGTATAAAATGCCAAAATAACAAATAAGATAGTACAGTTTAGATTAGGTGAAGCAGTTTTCAGCTTGTTGACATTAAGGGCCTCTTACAGTAGTTATATAAATATCAAACACTCTAGGGAACGTATATATTTCGAACAGACAACAGAATATTTTTAAAAAAATATACTGCAGTTTGTTATCGATTCACACGGTATCGTATTCATCGCGAATTGATTCTTACTATATAAACTGTTGTTCATATTTCTTATTCTCAAATAATAGCTATAACTAAAGTTTCCTCTATAACGACTTCAACACTTTATATTAGAATATTTAGCAAAACAAGCAATAATATCTTACAACTGTTCTATGTATTTATGAAACAGGTGTTTTTATATGGATTTAAACTATAAAGCTAAACTACTTTCGAAATTTTTCCATTAAAATGAATCTAGGATTAAAATCTTCAGTCGGTGTTATATGGGTTACAAACAATTTTTAATGAAATAAGTAACACGCAGCTTTACTATATTTAGCTGTTTACAGTTATAAATAAAAAATAATAAAAAAACTAAGTCTGCTCCGACCTCATCCGAGATAAAAATACCCAACTTTATCTCTCAGAACTGTTACTATGACAACCAATTTCAAACGTGAGCCAATGTTATCGATGGAGGAGGAAGAAAAGCTGCGAAGAAACATCGTTAACCTTTTCCGTCGTCTCATGCGTAGGCGAATAGCTTAAATCCTACGGATGCGGGGGCGTTGATTTCTTCCGACCTCTGATCCAACCACTGCATTGTTTTCGTCCGTAGAACTATCGAAAAATTCTGTTACGGGGACAATTCCCTGCACACCGATATTTTCTTCCCTGATAAAATTTATTGAATTCTCTTTCATTTATATTTGTTCTAAATCGGGTGTTTAAAATAAATTTTATTCTACATAGGATGACTTCTAATTTTAGACAGACTTTCAATAGATTTTTATGTAATATACCAATAAAATTATTCTATGAAATTATATAAAATCTTATAAGATAATATAGAAAATAAAATTAAATGAGTGAATTTATATATGGGAATATAAAATAAACGTAGAAAATACAATGTATCAACATACAAAAATATCTTAAATAAAGTTAAAATTTCTATTTTCTTAGTTGATTAAAATCATCTATGTAGTGTGACGTAATATCACAAGTTAACTTTTCACCGACATCCGTTGTAATCTAGAACAACAGACTTTTTACCTTTTCCTGTATTATATATTATTATTGCCTACATACATGTTGCCTTTATTAACGAAAACTTGCAAATACATAATAAATAATCTATAGAAAAGCTAAATCACGCAAATATCAAAATATAAAAGCTTACATCATGATTTATTTACACTAATACAACGCCATTTTATACTAACATACTTATCTAGAAATATTTATAATTATTATTAGAAAAATTTATTTTATTCCACATTAAAAATGGTAATGTTTTTATTTATGCAAATTTCGTGTTAAATTTATCAAAACCGTAAATTTCTGAAATGTTTTAGTTTTAAAAAGTTTCCTTCAATTAAGCTTCATGAAACCAAAACATATGGGAAGCGATCTGTCAGATTCTCTCAATGAGAAGTTTTACAACCACATTGTAATAAAAAGACACATTAGAATGGAATTTTCGTAATGCACATATGGTTGGAGTTTTATAGCATATTTTCCTTAATATAATTAAGAATTAGAATAATGGTGGCATTGGCTAACAACTGAAATATTTAACATGAATATAATCTTAAATACATAATGATACAATTTATAAAAATGTGATTTGAATAAATTATCTTTTATTAATTAATAATCACATGATAATTAAATTTACCATTATAATTACAAAAACTTGGTATTTGTTCCTTGTAATTTTCATTTATAATAATGTCTAATTTAATATACTTTAAAAGAAAATATATTTTTAGATAATGAATTAAAAAAAATCAAATCTTCAAGATAAAAAACTACAGCAGCAGTTTTAAAATTTATAAATATGCTTATACATCACTTGCTATCAGAATTAATCTATAAAATTGATGGATTTGATTTTTGAATTTTATTGACTTTTTGCTGTAATTTTCTTAGTAAATTTTTATATGCATTAATATTTTTCATTCTATAATAAAATTAGTTTTTAATTACATATAAATAAAATTTCTATATTATTATTTAGGAAACATACAAAATGAAACTGCCTTAATACAGAAAATAGTTTTAACACCTTTTAATCTTTCACCATCTACAATTTTATATGTATTATGAAACAGTATTTTTGTTTTATTACATTATGGACATAATTTATCTATAAGGATATGTATCTAAATACAATTTCTATATATAAACTAACTATTGTAAATGTATTGATTTTACTTACTGTTTAAAAATAATTTACAGTTACATAACTGATGGGAATAAATGGAAAGTAACAAAAAAAAAATTTTTTATTGAAAATATAAAAAAGCATTACTTCATAAATATCAGTAATTTGTGGGTAAATTTATTAACCAATGTTTCAGAAATTTAAGTGTATGTATATGTGTGTATGTATATATATATGCCAAGTTTCACACTGAGGACATTTATGACAACCACCTTCAAATTTAACATGTAATTGTTGTAGAAATTTTAGTGATTACAAGACTAAAAATTTTTAGTGCTATTTATGAATTAATTTAATCTCATTTACCTATCTATTATAATAAAGATTAATTTTAAGCAATGTTAAATCTAAAAAATATGTATAAAAACGTTAAGTTGTTCTCATAAGGTAATTAACAAATCAATGGAATTAATAATTTAAATTTTTAATATTAAGATTTTGTATTTTATTTTATTTTTACCTTGAAATCATCACACAGTTTTAAGTATCCAATTATATTAATGATTATTATTGTATTACTAAATGTTAATGTAAGTTTTAAGAAGAAATATGATTAAATTTTTATGATTAAATTAAAAATTACAAAAATTATCAAAATATTGTAAGTGTAAATTTTAATAATAAATTAAAAATAACTGTAGAGTAAAATGAATGTTTTTTAGTTAATACTTTTAATTATTATTAAAATAAGAATTATGAGATTTTGTATTTTATTTTTTTTTATAAACTATTTTTTTATATAAATGTTTATTCACATTTATGATACAAAAATATATTGAATCTATAAAATTTCAGCAGAAACATTCAAAATTTTTACAAAATTTAAATCTTATTATATTAGATGCATTTAATTACTTGATGGAATGACTGACTTTTTATCATCATTGTAGTAATTAATCTTCAGCTGATTAAAACACAATTCAGCAACCTTAATAATCCATTTATTATTGCATTTTTTTCCAACAACTGATAAATATTTTTTTAAAAATTAATAATAATATTAATAATGGACAAAAATACAATCCTCATTCCAATTTTATCATTAAATTTTAAAGCAATTAGTAATTGCTGAATTAATATTTTACATTTAATATACATTGCAGTTTGAAAAAGTAACAAATATAGCTCCTATAAAAGCACACAAATTATTGTACGTTTATTTACCTCTTCTCTTTGTACAGTTAATCCAAAATGCTTTACAAGCCCTTACAAAGCATAGAAAAAAGCCCTTGTAGGACAAGCCTTTATATAATGATTTTGCTCATTGCAATTATTTACAATATAAAAATAATCAACAAGATTCAATTTGATCAATCGATGCAAAATTTTCCAGAAAACTAATTGATTTGGTCCCTCTGAAATTTCCATAATAGCACAGAGGAGTTTTATACAAAGTTAAATTTGTTCTATAAACTGTCAGTTCCATATGACGTATTTGGTTGACAATATCCTACTCCATTGACCTAAAAGTTTATTTAACATAGAAATAAAACTATTATTTAATAATCAACAAGCATAAAAAGTTTTAAAAATAAATTCTAAGTAGTTTATAATAAATTTTTTTTTACCATATTAAGTAACTTCAATTTTTTAATAATTAAAATTTAATAAAAAAAATTTTTAGTAACTATTTATTTTGGTAAATAATTTCAAGAAAATTTGCTTAAAAATCTTGTAAAACTTATAATTTTAAAGTGATTCAATAATTTCTAATCAATTCAAAAACTACAACATAAATCTAAATTGCTGCATATAAACCAAATATGCTGTCAGACCAAATATCCAGCTTCCAGAAATCTGGAATTACCAAATCTAGAATTTAGAATTAAGTTATTTTTGAAACTGGCTGGCTTTGAATTTGACAGGCTCTAGTACAGCTGTAGTTTGCTGCACAACACCAGTCCCAGCTTATATATATGTAGCCTGTGTCCAGAAAATCAGACCTCTTCCAGTTCCAAGTTTGCCAGATATTTTCTCCAGTACTGCATATTTCAATCATATATACAATATATTTGTTTCTCATTGAATTTAATTACATTAATTATGGGCTAAAATATCAATTAAATGATTGTTAATATTCTATTTAATTCTAATTCTATTGGATAATGTTATATTTTAAATTTTCAATAGAAAAAGATCTGTAGAATCAGTTCTTCCTTAATGCAAATCTTCACAATAAAAATTTTAGAATCATCATTTTGATTCTAAAACTAAGTGGTTGTATGTATATCTTAATTAAATTATCACAAAACAGAGCAAAAAACACTATGCTCATCTACTAGTACTCAAATACCAACATTTTTTTTTTTCATTTCATAGAAGTGTTATAACAAGGATTCACCATTATAAAAAAAAAATCACATGATTAGTTACAGAAACTAAAACTCATTGATTTTAATATGTGATTTATTTCTATGGAATTCAAAGTTTGTTACAAAAAACAATTTTTATTTTCACTGGTTATTCAAGTTTTATTTTCACTGGTTTTTCTGGTATAAGTTATATACCAGAAAAATTATCTATCTCATAAATAATAATATATTTGGTTGAAGAATAAGTTTCTGGAATTTTCTAACCTCTTTAAAATACAGGGTGGACCAAAAAGAATATACGTATTTCAAACTGATATATTTAATAAACTGTAAGACATACAACTATGGAACTTGGGACACATATTTATGAAACTCTCTAGTTTAGATTACAGGTGTTCAATATGTCCTCCACCAGCGACACGAACGGTCCGGGCGGGAGTTCCGTCCGGGTGTCCGGGAACTGGGGTCCGGGCGAGAGTTCGGTCCGGGCTTCATAACAAACCTGTGTCTCAAAACACGCCAAACTGTTGTTTTAGGTAGCTGCAATTTCCGACTGGCATGACGTCTTGATTTTGAAGGGCTACGTTGGTAAGCAGCTTGAATCCGTGAGACATTTTCTTCAGATACACGAGGTCGGCCAAAACTCTTTCCTTTACATACACAACCTGTGTCAACAAACTGACGGTACCATCTGCGAATGTTCCATCCATTCGGAGGATCAATTTCGTACCTCAACCGGAAACGTCTTTGCACTGTAATCACGGAATTACACTTTGCAAGCTCAAGAATACAAAAGCTTTTGTGCTGTGGCGTAGCCATTTTACAACAACTGTGAATACGTCATTGTAACCAAGCACAACTGACATCTGGGGACAAACTAGACGATGCACTCGTTCCTCCGATACCCGCAGCACACCGCTACTATCGATAGTTTAATAATTATATCAGTTTGAAATACGTATATTCTTTTTGGTCCACCCTGTTTTCAAAATTGTTCTCCAACAGATGGCATCTAAAAGTTTCTTGTAAGGTATGTAAATGAAGGTGCATAATTATAACTGAAAAAATGTGTGTGTGGAATGACACCAAGTTTAAATATGTCAAGTTGCTAACACTTTCTCATAACCAAATTCACATATTTGTGTTTTATGATTATCAATTTTGTTTAAAAGCAGCTGAATCTTACCACCATATGGTACAATTATTTGGCAAGATTGTAAACTTTGGATATGACTATCAGTCCAGTAAATTTAAAGCTGGGCAATATGAAATCAAAGATAAAGCATGTTCAGGAAGGCCTTTCATCCTATTGAATGATGAGTTGCAGCAGTTAGTGGATGCCAATCCACACCTGTTCACATGAGAAACAAGCAAGTTATTTGATTGTGACCAGACCAGTCCACCATAATTTGTCCACAGATGAGTATCCTGTGCTTTCTTCATGACAATGCAAGATCATATATGTCAAGGTTAATCCAACAAGAGCTGCTTGATCTCCACTGGGAGGTTCTCCCTCACCCACAGAACCACAATTTCCAATCCATCTTTTCCACTCTAAGCAACACTTAACCTTTTCCAGCCCAAAAATTAAAGGTGTTTAAGTTAATAAATTATTATCATTAGAAAGTTACATTTTTGCTTAAGTTTTATACATCTGTGTATATACTATTATAGAAAAATATCTATCCTCTTTATTCTTGCAAAATCAAAACAGTTTCCCAATCATTTATTGATTCAACAGTTATTTCCTGAAAAACATCATATTGAAAATGATGCAACTACACTCACTGCCAAAAGTTAAGCACGGAGCAGAAAATGTTCATGTCCAGAAAGCAATCTGCATTTGACAGGCTGCAATTCACTGCAGAGGTAGGTGGAAGCATGCAAATATGTTACGTTACTATCAATCAAGGTTACGTGTCACGAAATATGCAAAACAGGCAGTCGTATAANAAGTAATTTTATCTTGGAGTAATAAATAATGTAATAATAATAAAGTTTATTATTAAAAATTTCTTTTAAAACAGAATTAAATTTATGAAAAATAATACATTAAGATCAAAATATGAAAGATATAAATATCTTACAGATTAAAATTGATTATTTTTTTACTTAACACTATCTACTTAAGATATTAAAGACATTTATTATAAATGTCAAATGATATGCTTCTAAATGTAATAATTTCTTCCACTTTCTCATTATCTTTGTCTGTTTTATTTGTCTGCACAGATATCATATCAGGGGGAATTGAAAATTGATATCAAAACTTATTATTAAAGAGTATTATATATGAATTATATAAAATTTGAAAAATAGTTGAATATTTTTTTTTATTTAAAGTTTTAATAGCAAAATGTAAGAATAAGTACAGATGACAAAATTATTATTTTATTTATAACAGCTGGGATATATATATGTATCACTGTGCTTATAATTATTTTATAATGGAGATATTTTATCAGGTAATATTTAATATTTGAAAATATGTCAAATTTTGCACATTTAAATATTTGATTTATAATTTGAAAATTAAGATTAATAAAATATTTGTGATAAATAATAGAACAGTGTCATATATTCTATTGCTTATTGATTTAATCAAGAAAACAACATATGAATCATGGTGATTTCTGTGCAACTTGAAAAACTATTATAACAAAAGTTGCCAAATAATGCAGTGACTTTAATAGATAATCAATACAATCACAATTATTTATCTTAACACCTTGTTTAATTACTCAAATATTCTACTGTTTAAGTTATGACAAAATCATATTCTAAATTTTATTTTGTGATTATGTCCCAGATAATTTTACTTTGGACAGTTTTTTACAAATACTTTAATACTCAGTATAAGATGGAATATTAGCATTTTTAAAATAAAACTTTATACAAAACATAGATTCTATCAAATATAGCTAGAAATTGTCTGTTACATATATAAATAAATATGTACAGTATTGTATATATAATAATAATAATAGATATTATTAATCTGAAAATTATTTGATTTGATATTAGAGACATTTAGTTATTACATATTGTTACATATGGAGTTTTATAGATCTGGATATGATAAATATGTTTGTTAACATTTAATATAAAATATATATCTTAAAGTAAATTTGTTTTAAAATTGTTATCAGAGTTTTAGCAACATATTTGAACAACCATATGTTTCAGTTACACAATAACTAAAAATATAATTTCTTTCAATATTTGGGTTGTCTTAATGTAACATGTTTTTTTATGTGCTTTTTAATGGATTTATAGAAACAGTTTGATAGATACTTTTATTGCAAATGAAATTTTTATCATGTATATTTTTTTTCTTACAAAGCATTCCTTGTTAAATGGCCTATTGTGAAAGTTGTCATGTGATATATCAACAATTAAAGTATTTTAGATATACAGTATTTCTGATTATCAGTAAAAGAACATGTTTGAGATCTGAAAAACATGTATAGTAAGGAATCTTTTTATATCAATCAAAAGAGAAAAGTTTAGAAGTTTGCCTAATTTAATTGATATACTATAAAGTCAATTTTGGCATTGTTTTATATTTTAACAATTGTTAGAAATATTTAAATGCCAGTATTATTGGTAATTTAATATAGAATCAATTTGTTTGAAATTGCTGATTGTTAAAAATTTTGCAGGTTCATTCTTTTAAATAATCTGCCTGTAATTTAAAATGTCTTAATGATTAATTTTTTTAACCTTTTTTTTTACAGAATATAAAATAATATTTTGTAAAAAGCATTAATTGTTTTGAATTCACAAGAGAGATTTAAAATAAATATTTACTAATATTTATTTTAATATATAAAAAAATATAATATTAAAAATGTAAAGCAATATAAAAAAACATTAATTTAATAAAAAAAAATATTTATTTTAAATCTCTCTTGTGAATTCAAAACAATTAATGCTTTTTACAAAATATTATTTTATATTCTGTAAAAAAAAAGGTTAAAAAAATTAATCATTAAGTCATTTTAAATTACAGGCAGATTATTTAAAAGAATGAACCTGCAAAATTTTTAACAATCAGCAATTTCAAACAAATTGATTCTATATTAAATTACCAATAATACTGGCATTTAAATATTTCTAACAATTGTTAAAATATAAAACAATGCCAAAAT